GTTAATTTACATAAAAAATTAAATAATTTAAACTAGATTGCATGAAACATGTGATTAATTAACTGTCGTATGTGTAATAATATAATAAAAAAAAACAGAAATAATTGAAATAAAGTAAAAATATGAGTTGCTAGTCAATTTTGTCATTTAATCATTGAAGTGAATGTGACACTTCACTTCTAAAACTTTTAAAATTATATCCAATTCTTACGTTTGATACTTATGATAGTTCTGATAATGATCATGTGATATAATATGCATAATAAAGTTTTTTTATCAATGCAATATCTGATGTACGAATTTTTTTGCACTAGCCCATATCAATAAAAAAGAAAAAAATTACAGCTGTTTCAAAATAAATGGGACACAGAGACCCATGTCTCTAATATTAATTCACATGCTTCTGCCGATCTGTATCCTTGTAATTAGAATCCTCTTTAAAAAAAATAATAATAAACTTACCGTATTAAAATTTTACTGCAATTTTCAATTTTCTATCATTAAAGCAATAATACAATAGCTGCGCCAGATAAAATTATTTATATAAAATAATGAATTTTAATTTCTGCTAATTTTAATGATTATGTATAGTGTTTTTTAATTTGTTATAATTATTTATGTTCGTTAAGGCTCACTATTTCCAATTTTTTTTTTCGAATAAAAAAGTATTAAAGTTTTTCAGTTACATAAGTTAATTAATACAATCAAAGTTGTTCATGTAATACGGAAGTTGGAAAATTTAAAACGGAAAAAGGACTCACGAAAAAAAAGCACAGATATGTAACACAACCATTCTCTACTTTTAGTTTACAAACAAACTAACTTTTCTGTGGATATCCACTTTTTTGGAAGATGGATCCAGTCAAAAGTTCAATAATTAAAACTGGTGTTAGTAGTAACAATAGTGATAATAAGAGAAGTTCTACCTAAATTCAACTATTAACAACATTCAGCACGAAGAACGAGAGCCTTTACAAGGAAACGAAGAAGTACTAATGGAAATGGTTCTAGTTTATCCACAAAATAGATGTTCACTGCCATAAATCAGATCTTGCATAGGCGCATATCAGTTTCTTTACAGAGACCAAAAGATTTAATTGCAGAAATAAATGCCCATAAAATAGATAATAATAAAATATGAAATACTTTTCCCCAAGTCCAATTTCCGTTATTGCGTCGATTTAACAACAAAATCAACCTTTACCTTCTCATTCAACACAGCACCAACCAACTTTACAGTGATTGTTATGAAAGAAAAGTTTTCACGCTTCCAGACAATTTTCTCCAGTTTTTCCCTTTCAAGCTTCCTTTCCATTATCGCTAATAGTTTGAAGAAGATCCTTCGTATATTAAAATTAAAAAAAAATAATAGCAATCTTGGCGATTTAACTACTAATTATAATTCTAATTTTAATTCTAATTCTAATAATAATAATGATTATAACAATAATATTAATAGTAAAAATAGTAATAATAGTTAGTAATAGAAATAATAGCAATTTAATTAATAAACGGATCGTATTGAATCATGGAACAACAACCACAAACTCATCTCCAATTTCACCGATAAACTCTACTGCTTTATCACCTTCTACAAAAAAGCAATTCTTTGAAAATTGTAATAGAGTGACAAAAGTTATTATTTCATCAAACAAAGGACGATAAAATGGAAATACTATTAAAAAAGGCAAAAAATTTTTTGGATCAAAAGCAAAGACCTAAAGCCAGAATTGCATCATTATGTAGTATTATAGGTAATTAAGTTGAGAGAAAGAATAGGATATATTATCTAAGAACCTCACTCAAATAATATATTGAATTTGTTTATTTGTTTATTAAATTTTATTTACTGAAATATTGTTCTTGCTTATTATAAACAAATTTCCCAATCTATTATTTTAATAAGATATTGTGAATGAATTGGATCAGGTATAATTTTTTAACAAAATCTTGAAGATGTTTTTGATGTAGTTTATAATTCAGTTATGAGCCAACTAGATAAAATAAAATGTGAGAAATTTATTTTATTTTAATATGAATATAGAAAATATAAAAAAAAAAAATAATGTATTAAAATTGAATTATAAATAGAGAAATCGGTGTTAGACCTGGAATTGTCTCAAACCAAGCTAATAAAACTAATAAACTTAATAACACAATTATCTCAAAGGCCTTTTCTAAGAGAAATTAACGATTAATAAACAAAACAATTTATTATTACGATTCACTTGTGTAGTAGGTTATCACGATCAATCCTATGATGAAGACAAGAAGAAGGTTGAAAGTGTAAAATAGT